AAAATAATATTTGACATTTTTTCATCTAGATAGTTTAGTCGAGGTATTTATCTAAGACGGCACATCATATAAACATTTTTGAATTTATCTAGATAAGATAAAAGATAATTAAATATTTTTCTCTATAAATTTATCTTATTATGTTCAACACTGCCCACGAGTTATTGACCTGGCTTTCCAAAATGTGCAGACATCAAATCATCTTTTTCCCCCATCAGCAAGTGGATGAGAAAATATCTCTGTAATGATTGTTACGTTATTTTTGATCGGTGACTCGGTGAATTTGTGAAGAGTTATAATTTAGTTGGAATAATTATCAAAATTATCTTTCATTTTGCGTATACCGTTTTAGTTATTTTTCTGAAAATATTAAAAAAGGTGCAATTCTGATATATATCATGGATTTACCCATGAAAATATCAGGGCGGGCTCGTCGTCTTGAGTACGGGTCGCCGCATAACAAATATCTACTTATCTTTATCTAGATCATGTTTGAGTTATCTATTCTGATTACTTTAAACAATTACAAATTTAAATAGATATGCGATAGTGGAAAATCTTAGAAACAACAAAACGTTTTTTGGAAATGTAAAAATAAGTGTTATGAGTCATGCGTTTTTTAATTTTTCTTTAAATATAATGAACTATATTATGTATTTCGCACAAAATATTATTTAAAGTATGACGTACAAAAATTGTCCTTTGTTCAACTAGAATAATAGATAGGCATTTTGTTTAATAGAGATAATATTTTCAAAAAATTGCAATTGTTATGAAATAGTTGCGGTCTTCGACAAAATTAAAACTATAGTTGTGTGAAATTCATTATTTAAATAGTACCTAAATACAGTATAGTAGTATAAACTTACCTACTATACCGTCATACAGATGCTGTATAGTACAGCGGTCGCCAACCTTTTGGAACTTTTGGACCACTAAAACTATATTCTAAATTCTACGGACCATATATACCTTTTTACATGAATAAGGTTCCACTACTGATAAATTGTACACCAAATTAATATAAAAAAATACATACGTAAAATAATAAAAAATGTTTTATTTTTATTTATTTTGTGCAATTTTGGCTCTAATGTAGTCACTAGCTTTATTTATTTCTAACTGATTTTTAGCTATTTTTCTGCGGACCACTGGTATAGTAGATTTGTATGAATAATTATTGAGGGTCACAGTATTTAAAATCGTAGTATATTATTTGAATTGTATAGCTAACAAAAATAAATGTACTGTTATAACATTAAATAAATCATAGTTAAAATGAAAATGGTGTTTTTAATAACTAAACACTACAAATTCCTTTTAAAAGTTAATTTGTTGAAAGATCAAAGTACTATGAAACGAGTTAGAAATACAATTTGCACCATATTTTAAATTATCAAGTATGAATATGAATTGTATCGTAAAAGAGCTCACAAAAAGAAAGTTCTGCTTTTGTGACGTTTTAGTATTTCAAAGAAAAATATTTCAGTAGATTGCGCAAAATGCAGGTGCTTTGACTGGCTGTAACGAGTGATGTTTGTTTTTAGTTTATTAATTAAAGGTTTTTTGAAAAACATACATCAGTAGATACATTTAGACATTTAGTATTATATACCTATGTCCTATGCGGCTATGTGTTTAAAGTTTATAATTTATATTTTCATTTTTAATATCAGGCATTTACATATGAAGTTAGAACTCAAGATAATTAGGTGTGATAATTTACTGTGTGAACAATATTTTCATTAAACGTTTGATGAGTAATGACCGTCTTGTATTATGGATTATTTTGTGCTCGAGAAATAGTATATTGGGACAAATATAAACTATTTACCAAGTCAAAAAATAGGAATAACTGAACACATAATAATATTATGTTTTTAAATATTTATGAAAATGATGATAAACATAAGTAACTATAAATATATATTCCTAATCGTTATATATTATAGACATATGTATTATTGTATTCATAAATATGTATCGATATAAAATAGAGTTTTATAGAATCATTTACTAGCCATGACAGTATGACACAAATACACAATGTGTTAGTATTATGAGATTTGATGATTATTTCATTCAATTGTAATTTTAGGAATTATGTACTTAATTGTGTAATTGGTATAGTCAGAAATGAAATTTTTGCAAACAGCACTAATTTATTATAATTTTGTGTTCATTCAAGATATTTTTAATTTGTAATGTTCTATTGTACTTTAAAATTAATTAAAAACATTATTTAGTAAAATTAAGATTAAAATAAAAAAGTTACACAAAGAAATATAATAATTTTATGATTAAGCAAATAAAAACGATTTTATTAAAATAATTTTTTTTTTTAACAGCGAACAATATAACGCATATTTTATAGACTTTTTGTCATGATAATTCAGTAGAATAAAGTTTTTTTTAACTTCTATATGAACTATATTCGAGCAATAACAATCAAATCGTGTAAAATGCACGGGGAACAATGTGAATACATGCCAGACTCCATTATAAATTACCTATACATTTTTAATTATAACTTATATTTTGTTTATTGGTCTTTGGTAAAAAAACCAATTATAAATTCGCACGATTCGAACGTATTTAAGAAAACACATTGGACGTAGGTACACGCACTTAAGCGTGTTCAATAATTTACTGCAAATAACAATGGAATTATTAATTTAAACACGGCCAGGATGGCATGGTATGGATGATTGATGATAATAATATATATTATTATCACACTTGGCTAGGCGGTGTACGAAAAACGTGTTGTACTACCTCCGATGTAAGTCTCGTAAGTTATTTTATATTCTTACACGCTCTTTGTGCATAAATAAGTACGCAGTACTTATACAGGATGATTTGTCAAGCATGCTCACCTCCATTTTTTCTTTATTAAAGAATCTAATCAAATTATGTTTTTTTGAATTCTTATACTAAAATTTATACTGAAGGAACATATTTATTTTGTATACAGTTTAAATAGTGTCCTGTGGTGACACGAACAGATGATTTTTTTAAAGTTTTGATGTTTTAAATCAAAATTAGAGAATAATTTAAAAGGAAAGCATTAAATTCTAATAATAAAACCCGTTTTTGAGTAGTTTCTGAATTAATAAAATGTATATGCTCAAGATAATTGAGGATACAAAAATATATTATTAATGAACTTTCGTACTGAGATAATATTTAAAAATTATAAGATATTGATGAATCAATATTAATTACTAAAATGTTCAAACCGTCAAAATATAGTACGCTTCAATTCACCATACCCATTATTATAGACATAGGCGCAATTAGAGTAAAAAAATTGGGGGGGGGGGGCTTCAGCCCCTCACATACATTTTTTAAAAACTGCCTCTCAGAAGCTTTTTTTCCACCCTTTACCCTCAATAAAAAATGTGCTTATTGGAAGGCAAGTAAAATTTAAAAATAAATAATAAAACAATAATTCACTTTTAAGAATGGATAACCGATTTAATTTAGTTTTTTACATTTTATATTCTTATTTTTCTATTTTTTTTAGCAAATGTATTTAAAATAATTTCAGTGTCAACAATAATATCTCCTCAATATTAAGTATTGCTAATTTTGAAACCGTTCTTGTGACATAGTAGACCTGAGTTAATTATTTATTCTTCTCGTCGCAGAAAATGACCGTTTGCAAGTAGCTGAACTGACCGGAAGAGTGATAGCCAATTGAATCATTTTAAAAAGATTTGGAAACGTATCTTTAGATATATTTTGTTTGATGGTTAAATAGTTAGGAACTCCTTTTATCATATTTTCAAAACAGTCATCACACATTTAAAATCATTAGGGATGACTTCAAACAAATTCTGTTAAGTAAAATACAAATATACAATTTTTGAATAAAATAGGTACTTGAAAAACATTAATCATATAAAAAAAAAACTTATATTGATTTATAAGTAATGATGATTCCTCAAAGTCTAATTTTAACATGTTATCTACACACGTCGCAATTTGAATGCTCTCTTCAGAAAATCTTTCTTTCATTTGACATATTATTGTATCTATTACTGGATAAAAAGCATGTATCTTCCAATATGATTTTGGTTCTAAAGTGGTACTTGTATTAAGACCATTTTTATAATGTTGTTACTAAAAAAAGAATAATAAAAATTTATTTTATTCATTTTTTCAGTGGTAATCACACATTTTTTTATTTTTCAATATAATAAAATAAAGTTTTGTATGATTTTTGGGGGGGCTTTGAATGTTTTTGAGGGGGCTTAGCCCTTCCAACCCCTCTCTAATTGCGCTTATGATTATAGACTTATATTAACCTATTAGTAGTAAGTACACAGGCTCAAATTACTCACAACTATTATATTCAGTACTGGTTCGAATTTCAATTTTGTCAGGTACATACAAATTTTCAAAAAAATCATCTGCCTAACAATGTACAATAAAGAAAGTTGGTTCTCATTTAAAAAAAATAAGTGTGTATCGCCACAGGACACCCCCTAAACGGTATGAAAAATCTGAATAATTCAAAATAGCGTCTTTAAGTAAATCTACTTCACAATTCAAAAAATCAGAATTTGAATAAATTCATTATTAAAGAATAAAAGGGGGTGAGCATGCTTGGTGAATCATCCTGTATATATATATAGATTATATAAAATAATGAAGTAGCCGCGTGCGACTGCTGTTTTTTAATCTGTAGTTTGAATAATAATAATAAAAACGAACCACGAAATTTGGTATAAGCCTTTGGACAAATCGTCTCCGTAACCAATGTATTTTTAAAAAATATGTTTCTTAACAGCGTGTACCTACATCGTGCACGGAAATCGGTGCAGGTCGCGGTCGTCGAACGGCGGGTGTCTCCGGCCGCGGTGTCTGGTATAATTCCGGTATGGTGACAACGAAATAATAATAATATGACGATGGACGACGTCGTGGGAGGCAGCACTGGTGCGCGGTCCAAAGTCTCGCCGCCGCCGCCGCCGCCGCCGCCGCTTCGGGTAGTTTTCGCTCACGCTTCGTGCACTCACGTTCGGTCGTTCGGTCTCCGGTGCATCGGCTTCCGGCGATATCGCGTGCTATAAACTGACGTCGTTCGTCCGTGTCACGCGGTCTTCCCGACAACGGAGACGGGACAATTTAAGTGCGATACTTTGGGACTGCAGTCCGAGAATTTATTGGTAAGTCGATGACTGATCCATGTTTTCGGTTTTTAAATCAAATACAATAATTGATATTGGGTTTTACCTGGACTTGATGTGTGCATGTGGTATTAGGTATCTTTTTTTTTTAAATGGTCGCTAATATAGGTATTATTATTATTATTATTATATAGTTACTGTTTTGACAATTTTTTTTAACTATGTTTGTTGGAAAATTATTCATATACGATGGTATTTATATTTTTTTTATTATATTTAGAAACAAGTCAAAAAATATAGACAAATTGTTGAACTATGTAGGAACTTTAATATTATATTATAATTATATATCTATCTATATTTTTAACTCGGTCAATTTTAGCAGTTGTTGTAATTTAAACTTTAATTTCAAAGACAATTTTCAGTCATAGATTTAAATAAAATATAATTAAATTAAAATTGAAAAAAACTTTAGTATGTTCGACGCTTGTTAAAATATTCTAATTTTTTAGTAAATATTTCTAAATTAGTTAATGTTGCTATGAAATGGTATTTTATAATATTGTACACTAGGATTTTTATTTAAAGTAATTAACTCAAAAATCTCGACTAACAATAAACAACATTATTATTTCGCTTCATTGGAGTAAATTTTCTGATAAGGATATAAATTTAAATGTAAGATAACTTATTATAATTGGTCCACAGTGAGCGAAGGAAGTGTCCAATACCATGTATCCATGTTCTATATATAGTACATAATATCCTGTCGGTATTTGAATAAAAAAAATGTTTTATGCCGGAATAAATTCACATTTGAAATAATGACTTATTGACTTATAGGTAAAAATACATATTTATTTAACTTAGTTTTTGCATTAAATGGATTAATGATGTCGTATATAGATCAATTTAAGATTTAAAAAATACGCATTTTTTATCTGAACATTTGTATCATTTTAGATGATTTTCAATATCATACTTTATTTTATGTACTGTCGCCTAATAAGGGCTCGCGCTTGGCAAACGTAAATGTACTCGACATTTGTGCAACCACCTATACCACTTATATTAAAGATTAAAACTATACCGACGCTAATACTACATTATTTTTGTTATCCGTATTGAGATAAAAAAAATCTGTTCCAACTGAATTTGCAACGATTTGGATATTATGAGACATCTGTGATGTAGATATAGGTAAGCGAGGCAATTAACCCACACAAACATAAATATTTGTTTTGAATGTTATTCTGTATTAAGTGTTTTATTTGCGCGGGGTGTCAAGTGCGTATGTGTGTGGTGGTCTCGGTCTGAAGTGTTTCGGAAACTGTTAAATAGTTTTTGTTTTTTTTTCTGTTCCACTGGGAAAACACATGGCTACCCTCTCGACGCAGCGCTCGAGTCTAGCCGGTTGATGATTATAGATCTAATGATACAAACCCTTTTCGCTTGTGTTGAACGAATTTCAGAAGTTTACGGAAGAATCACAGACGACAAGTTATACATTTCATAAAATGTTTCCGTGTCATATATCTCGTTAATGCATGACTTCGGACGGATTGCGTACAGGCACAATCTATATTCTATATCTATTTTTTTTCATTTTCGAGTAAAACAAATGTACGTATTTCATTTTGATCTTTATTATTATTTTATTTCACATGGTCCCCCATAACAGTTCGGTTGGACGACTCATCGACGTATGAAAATATATGACGCATATTGTGTAATTAGTATATTACTATGATGTATGTGGCTTTGGATTATAGATGTAATTAGAGGATTCGGTGATGTGCAATCGTAAAGAATTATGTTTCTAAATGTCCGCAATATTACGGTACAGAAATCAACATAATAAATGTTTCGTAAAATACATCTGAAACGAGTTACATGTTTTTTCCTTTTCATATATAAATACATTATACACGGCTCGCGAGGTGGGGTTCACCATTTACCGGTTAAAAGCAAATTTCGTTTGTTAGTTCTTTGTTGTTGTTGTTTTTTTGTAAATCTAGCTGGTATTTATTTTGCTTTTCTCTCCCCCGCTCTTGCTTAAGGCTTTTAGAGTTTGTCTATAGCGGATTTACTCTAAACAAATTATGCGTACGCACATCCAGGTTTTTCTCTTGTTATTTGGATATCATTTTTATTAAGGTGGCAGTATTTCAAAAAGATGCCTCACTAAAATTAAAGAACGGATATTTTTTCACTTGTACAACAGTACCTAACTCAACTCTATACGCGGATTAAAAAATTAAAGAAAACATTTTTCTGTTACAAACTTTTATCTAAGTGTGTAATACATAGAATCTCGAGTTATCTGATGTTCCAACCATAAAAATGAAATATTAACTATTATAAAACATTGCTATTTAGAATAAATTAAAGTTACGGATAAAATAATGCAAATATATTCAATGGTTTTTATACTATTTTGTCGTATCCATATGAGCAAAGAAGATGATGAGACAGCATTTACAATTTCTTACTAATAATATTTCAGGTTTTTTTTTAATAAAAATATAGTGATAATGCGTAGGAATGTTTATCAATATTAGTAAGCAATTTCACTCTAAATAAATAGTAGACAATAATACTGCAATGAATCATAATAAAAGTATAATATACTTTCATTGTATTAGATTCATATTATTTCTTGACGATTTTTTTTTAATTACGTCTCTATAAAAACTGTAAAACATTGGATTTTGAACTCGTAGTGTCTATCTAATTTATAAGTTATATTGACATTCTTAATTATTTTATATTTAGAACTAAATTCTAGTAGGTTTAGTCATAGAGGTAGGTACTATAGGTGTCTGAAAAATTTTTAATACTTAAAATGTATTTGGTTTAGTGGAATTACTATAGCGGGTTTATAGAAACTTACAATTCAAAGCTTAAATTACAATGTATAATAATACCATGAATTTGATTATAAAAGGTTGATACTTAATTTAAAAGTTTAAGTATTCAAATACTTCATATCCAAGTGGATTTTGGAAAATGTTAAAATAAATTATTATTTACCATAGGCAATATCAAACTTAGTTATTATTTATATATTATATAACTATATGCCATAGTTTATAAACCTCAAAATCTCTGTAACAAAAAATACGCCTGATCGTATAATTATATTTTAATAATAGTAGAGGTTGAACTTGATTAGTTGTGTATAGTATCTAGTAAAAAGTTTTAGTAAATTGTATAATTTTACAAGTTAATACTTAGCTTATTTTTATTTGTTCTGTGTGAAAATCAAGAGTTCAATTAGACATTTTTTGATGACCTAAAAATTTAACTACCTTCAAGATAGAAGACGTATGAGGTATTTTGCCTAGTCCAGATTTACATAAAAACATAAAAATAAGCCATTTTTAAAAATAAATATAGATTTTAATATGCCAGTGGTTGATTACTTTACCGGCGATGAATATACATAATGCACCCATTTGCAAAATAATCAATTAGTAAAATTATTAGCGTATGAAATTGTGCAAAGCTTTATAATATCCAACATTGGTAATAATAATTAAAGAAAAAAACTATGTATTATATTTATAAGAATTTCAATAATAATGGAGTACTTCTTTGAAAAATTAAGTTACCATATATTACATATAAGCTGTATTGATACTTAAATCTGGCCTCCACATGAGTTTTTCTCAGTGAGGCCCAGTAATCGTTCGATACAAATTTAAATAAAAAAAAATATATAAATAAATAATGTCAAATAATTATTAAATCTACTCAAAAAAAGTTTACTTACAACTCAGGATTTTTTTGAAATATCAAGCATTCTGACGAGTAAAATATGAAATTACAAGAAAATCTATTTTTGCAGTGTTTTTACACACTTCTAAATATTTTTTTTTCATACCCCTACATGATTTTTCTTATCGAATTGTTCCTTTACCGTTGACTAATGCAACTTTTTACACATTATATTATTTTTCTTATTGGGGGGAACTCAAGGTAACATAGGCCATTGGGTGTGGCGTGGTAAGATGGGGAGTTTTTTGTATAGGTTTTGTAGGGTTCTTATGTTGGTAGGATCGTAACACGTGTTTGTGTATGTGTGGCAAGAATGTGTTACTAAAAACCCAAGTGGTCACCCATCCGAGAGCTAGCAACGTTGGTCGGTGAGTACACTCGGCGCGTTTTCGCAGATAAGCTTACGACCACGCCTCACCAAGCCACGCATTATATTATTATTAAAATTTTAAAATAGGCATAGGGTTTCTACATTTGTGTCTTTTCTTGATTTCTGTTCTCATGTTGATTTAATTATGTATTATGCTGTAATATGAATCTACAGTACGCGTTCTTAGTTTTATCCAATGACACTTTGGGAACCCTTATGAGCAAAATTATATTACGGCTTAGTATAACGAGTTGGTTCGTTCTATATATTAGAAAATGGGATGATGATTTTTGGTTTTCCTACCTGCATTTCCTCTTGGTTAATCGTAAATATCATACTTACCCTCCTCATGAACACGTACCTGTTATACAAATCGTATGCTAGTTTTTTTGGAAGAAAGATGTAAGAGTTTTAGCTCGCACTTTAGTATGTAACTGTTAAGATACCATATATATGTCAAATGTCTTTTAAAACGAATGGTACCAAATAGAACAGGTCACTTGACTCTTTTTATTTGCACCTGGGGCAAATAAACTTTTCAAAAACTATTTGTACCTTTAACATTATAATGATTTGAGACACTAATGTTTTTCATTATTATTGCGTTGACAATATTTACCATTGTTAAATTGCAAATATTAAAATAAATAAAATACATCAAAGCTTATTTCTCATTAAATAAGTACACTTAAGAATTCAGGTGTATTGCTGGTACCTAATAATTACCAGGGTACCCACTTGTATGCGATGTTTGGGCATTTAAATTGATCAAAAAAAAAAAAATGATTTCATTAATTTTAATCTCAAGTCGTATATTTGTAGACTACTAAAATATTTATATTTAAATAAGTTCTTCAAAACACTACTATCAGCGAATACTGTTGTCTAT